GTATAGCAAGGCTCAAATTATACCCAAGTCTGCAGTGCCTAGTATAGCAAGGCTCAAATTATACCCAAGTCTGCAGTGCCTAGTATAGCAGGGCTCAAATTATACCCAAGTCTGCAGTGCCTAGTATAGCAGAGCTCAAATTATACCTGAGTCTACAGTGCCTAGTATAGCAGGGCTCAAATTACACCCGAGTCTGCAGTGCCTAGTAAAGCAGGGCTCAAATTATAGCCGAGTCTACAGTGCCTAGTATAGCAAGGCTCAAATCACACCCGAGTCTGCAGTGCCTAGTATAGCAAGACTCAAATTATACCCGAGTCTACAGTGCCTTGTATAGCAGGGCTCAAATTGCACCCGAGTCTGCAGTGCCTAGTATAGCAAGGCTCAAATTATACCCAAGCCTACAGTGCCTTGTATAGCAGGGCTCAAATTATACCTAAGTCTACAGTGCCTTGTATAGCAGAGCTCAAATTATACCCAAGTCTGCATTGCCTAGCAGAGCTCAAATTATACCCAAGTCTGCATTGCCTAGCAAAGCTCAAATTATACCCAAGTCTGCAGTGCCAAGTATAGTAAGGCTCAAGTTATACCAAAGTCTGCAATGCTTAGTATAGCAGGGCTCAAATTATACCTAAGCCTACAGTGCCTTGTATAGCAAGGCTCAAATTATACCCAAGTCTGCAGTGCCCAGTATAGCAGGGCTCAAATTACACCCAAGTCTGCAGTGCCTAGTATAGCAGAGCTCAAATTATACCTAAGCCTACAGTACCTAAGCCTACAGTGCCTAGTATAGCAGAGCTCAAATTACACCCAAGTCTGCAGTGCCTAGTATAGTAGGGCTAAAATTATACCTAAGCCTACAGTGTCTAGTATGGCAGGGCTCAAATCTGCATTGCCTAGCAGAACTCAAATTATACCTGAGTCTACAGTGCCTAGTACAGCAGGGCTCAAATTACACCTGAGTCTACAATGTCTCCTATAGCAAGGCTCAAATTATACCCAAGTCTATGGTGCCTACTGTAATTGGATTTAATAACTATTCCCAAATATTTGCATTTTACCTTCTCTTTTTTCTCTCCTTAGCTCTGCTTGGACTTGCACCTTCCTCATCACTACCACTGTCCTTCCTTCTCCTCTTTTTCTTCCTGGGTCGTTCGGCATCCACATCACTGTCACTACCTTCACTAAAAATGTCACCATCTTTCTTTTTCTGTCCAGTGCAAATAAACAAATTCACAATTTCAGATATTTAAAAATACACACATGAAAGATAGTCAACATATGTGAAAATTTCTTTACTCAAACTGACATAATCAAACACATGTTTTAAATAGTGTGTCTGGATTGTAAGAAAATTTCTTGTAATTGCTATGATTGTTCCAACAAAGCAGATATGATGTCACTCAGATATATTAATTTTTAGTGATTAAAATACACCCAAATATCTATATAATGATCTATACATTGATACATCATGGGTAAACATGTAACACTAGTGCAGTATTGCAAGTGTACATAGTGCAATATGAGCCGTTCAGGTGAGATATCAATCAGTAGATCGATTGGCTCACCAACATCCAATTAATTCTGGCCAAGTGTTAACAAGTATTTACCCGTCCTTTTCTGCTTGGCTTTCTCTCTTCTTCCTCAGGCAACATGATCATATTTTTAGTTTTCTCAACAAACTGTTGTCTTTTCTCCAGCAACTCCTGTGCCTTTACTTCTATCTGTTTCTCCTTGGCAATCTAGAGAATAGATTAAAAATAGACTAGAACCATGATATTTATTATCCTTGGAAGTATCAATGTATCTGATGGCAGTCAAAGGTCTGTTCATACATGTACAGTCAAATTAGAAGACAAATATTATAGAAACAGCAAAATATGATTTAAATCATTTAAATGGTACTGACCAAATATAGTAAGAATCAAGAGTCTTTCCATGATATGACTAAGTACCAGTACTGATATGTCTTGTTTCACTGTGATACAACTAATATTCTGACATGTTGCATTGATTCTTGCAACCATACACATACACCATTGTATTGTATAGTATAAATAATCTAACCTTTTCTTCCAGCTGTTTTTTTCGAAGGGCATCCCTTTCAGCTGCTTGTTGTGCCCTGATTGCTTTCTCTTCCTCATCTTGCCTACGGGCTCTGGCTACATGATACTGGGCTTGGCTCAACAAATCTGAGCACTGTCTGTATGAGGAAACCAAATAATATTACTTATGATGTTTCACCCTGACAGCTTCACTTAATTTGTACAATGTAATTATCAGGAACTGAGATCACATGTAGCCTAGGAGTAGCATTTCAGATGGTAAAGTATGTACATGCATCAGTCATCAACTGGACTTCATTTACAAGATACTGGGCTTGGCTCAACAAATCTGAGCACTGTCTGTATGAGGAAACCAAATAATATTACTTATGATGTTTCACCCTGACAGCTTCACTTAATTTGTACAATGTAATTATCAGGAACTGAGATCACATGTGGCCTAGGAGTAGCATTTCAGATGGTAAAGTATGTACATGCATCAGTCATCAACTGGACTTCATTTACAAGATACTGTAAATGCATTAATTATTCAGTGGGTTTTAATTTTGCTATTTTCACTTATACGTAAAATCTGCTAAATTAAATCTATGTGAGCATGTAAAATAAAAATAAAACTCACTGTTGACCAATTTGTGAAATTAAAACACAGTGAATATGCTCAAAACATCAAAATAGTGAATATAAATGGTTTAACAGTAGGGCTCTATAGATTCATCCCTTTCATTCCACTAACTTCATGTGTGGGCAATTGTGGGCTGAAAATCACACAATTACAGCAACAACAAATCCCTTACATCCAATTTGTCTTTTATAGCATACAAAGTTTCAAAAACATATTAAACTACCACACTTAAACATCCACTTTTACATGACAATTATCACCAAGAGTAACACACGGAAGACAATTAACATCTTCTTAAATCGCTAGGTTATATTTATTTTGTCCTTTATTGTGTTTTATTTTGTCTGTTTATATATTTTCTTTTGTGCATGAAAATCTGTTTATGAATGTGCTGTTTTTAAATGAATGAATTGCAATAGCAATTACTGTAAACCATTTCAATTTCGCGAGTCTGGAAAAAACTTGTCATCAGGATTGTCAGTTGACACTGGATCTGAAAGACCAAGCCTAACGGTGGTAGCATTGAGAATTTGTATGAGATAACGCAACATCGTGAATGTAAGGAAGTCAGTACGCCTGATGAAACAACTTGAATACTGAGGCAACAATTCCCAAAACCCAGGCTTAAATGCACAATATTACAATGAAAGTGTGAAATACAGTGATAGACATGTCTATTGTCTTTGATTAGGACTCATCAGTATCAGTATGAACCACTACAGCATTTCCTGAGCTTGTACGACGTCCGGTCACACCACAGTCCCCTTGAATTTCAAAAACAAAGCACCCAATCGCTATTTTACAATTTTTGCCTCAAGTTAAAATCGTGAATATTTATCGTCGCGAAAAACTCGGCAAACACAAAATCGCGAATATTTCTAGCAGCGAAATTATTACGGTTTACAGTACTTACCTGGCCTCAACTGCAGCCTGATTTAAATCAAATTTCATCCTGTCCCCAGCTTTGCTAAGATATGTGAAATATCTATGTGCTAGTTCCAGCTCATGTACAGCACCGAGTACAGTCTTCAGGTTACTCTTCTCATCTTTGAGAATGCCCATAGCCAGTCTCTGCATCACCAAGGCAATGTTATACAACAATACAGTATCATTAGGTGACACACGTCGAGCCTGAAATATTTAACACAAAGCAACTTGAACAAGCCATGCATGACACAGTCCCTGTTAGTTATTAAACTATTAATAAGATATATAGTTTTGCTTATATAATTGGAAAATAAACATGTCAGAGATATGGATCCAGAAGCTGATGCCTGATTATGATTTGTTAACATTAAAAAGATTGACATCTTGTATCTGATCGTCAAACAAGTACTTGGAATTATGGAACAGCACTAATTGGAATGGCCACCGGTCAGCCATTTTGAATACATCTGTATATCTATAACATGATGTATAATGAATATATAAAGTTTTAACATCAGTGAAAGTATGTCGGAGATACATGTTTGGCTCTAGAACCGCATTCATTGAAACAAAATGGCCGCCATTTTGAAACAGATTTAAAAAAATAAAATGATGGGCATCAAGTTTGAACAAAAATCCATCCATAAAAGCCAAGACCAGTTCCAGAATGCCAGAAATGCTTGATTTTTGATGATTTTTTAGCACAAAAATAGCCACCATTTGGCCATTTTTAATCAGATAGTCAAAACAATATATATGTATATCTATGACATGATGAATAATGAAAACGCATGGACACACAGAAGCACAGACACAGGGACGCACAGGGTACTAAAAAGTTATAAACTAGAAGTGACAGAGTTATGAAACAAAGGAAGACAGTCACATAATAATTTGAAATAACACAAGTTACCTTGAGTAACACTTTTTTACAGTCCATCATTTTTCCAGCTCTAAAATAAGCTCTAGCAAGATACAACATCACTTCTGTATTGTGGTATTTATAAAACTTTCTTAAGCAATTTTCATACTATTTGGAATCAAAATAAAAACATTCAAATCATGTAAGTATCATTGAATCAAGTTTAACACAAATATGGTTCTCTCTGGAGTAACCCACAATATCATGGAAACTACGCAAATCATCTCTATATGACAACTATTTCATGCAAGATGCAAAATACCCACCATCTGTATAGCACTGATGTACTGTTTTTGTTCCACATAAATATGAGCTAAGTTTAACCATACATCACGCATATCAGCAGTGGCTTCTCTCACCTATTGTATAAAACAATCAACGGTTTTAATATCATGACAAATATCCATGGTTGGTAGAATCCTAACGTTTGACAGTTTTACAAGTAAAGCCACCCTAACATTTTTGTGGCACGCATTGGCACGACTCGAGTCGTACCAGTGCGCAAACTAGTCGTAAACAGGCGTGAAGTGTGCGTAAACCCGTCGTGACAGCGTGCCATGTCAGGACAATAATTTTGGAATGTTTAAAATTTTGGTCACAACAAAATTTTGTGACCGGGTCATGAACTATGCACAAACTGTTCGTGACCTGGTCGGGAGGAAGCGTGCCAGTGCGCGCCATGCCATGACTGTCACGAATAGTTCACGAACAGCTCACGTCTGAATTGTGCAAACTCGTTGTGCCAGTTCGTGTCAATGTGGACAATGACGGGTAAGTATTCGTGAATTATTGGTAAACTCGTTGTGAACTAATCGTGAACAGTGTGGAAGCCTCCCAGTTCGTGCCCAAAAATGGCATGACTTGCCATGACAAAATCATGGCCAAAAATCTTCAGGGTGGCTTTAGTATCCACATAACATCATATTGCTTTCATTTGCTAACCTGAGAGAAGACGTCTCTGGCTTCTCTGATGTAACCTTTCTGTGCCAGCACAGCTCCAATCCCATTGGCAGCATAGATATTTTTACCATCATTCCGTAATACTTGTTTGTACATTGCCAGTGCTCGGTCCTGATGTCTTTTTTCCTGTTTAGTGAACAATTACCATGATTAATTAATAAATGATAACCCAAGATCAAATCTACAAAGCAAAGCATTTTTTTGTCTAAACTTTTAGGTTATACATATCAAACCATGTTCACTAATCGGATCCTACAAAGCTAGGGTTTGAAATAATTGGGTTCACACTGCACTGTGTAAGTTGTTTTTCAGCCTGTGCAAATAGACCAGAAACCTAATGTGCACACTGCATGTAAGAAATATAATTGCTGTATACAAGTACTGATACATGCAGATTCAAAGACACATGTCATAGTCCTGTGCAAGATCAAGTAAGTGAAGCTTTTATAAAGCTAAGCATTCACCTTATGCATTGATACAAATAGATCCGCAAATAAAATAGACACAAATTGGACAGTGAAATAGAGACATTTTTGCCCATGTTTAACTGCAAAATCTTGTAAAATAAATGATTAAAAGAAAGTTGTGATCTGTGAAATAAACTGGGTACATAAAATATTTGTAATGATATAATTTGTGAACATTTGGTTAAGTACAACAGAACTTGTCACTGCACATGTAACATACTAACAATGTAATCATTTGTTTGATCATTCTGTCTGTAATCTCTCACTCTGTAACATCTTTTGATTGCAGATGCTTGATAGTTTCCATGTATTTCACCATACCTCAGTACTATTCTTCATCACATCACATCACTCAATTGAGGTGCCAGCATAAATTTTATCAAAATGTCCAGCAAATCATTAAATTTCATTTAATATGCAAAAGTGGATTTTGTTCTGACTTTACGGCTTCAATAATGAATTTTTACCTTCACCAAGCTCAGTGATAAGAAAATATGTTTATTGTCATCATCAGACCAATGCAGTATCATACAAATAACTGCATCACCACCAGATGAAAAGCATTCTTGGTAATGTTGATGTCATCAGACGTGGCAACCCCCTTAAGCATGTGCATTGACAAAGAAATAAACAAACATAGAAAGAAATTTTGTAAATCGCAAGTTCCTAAAGCCTCCCTTAGATCTCACTGGAATTAAATATTACCTTGTCTTTGTCTCTAGTTGGCTGGTACAATGTCTGTAGCCACACATTTCCCAATGCAAGTAACGAGTAGGCATCGCTCTGTGTTGATGGCTGTTTGAGAATTCTTTCAAATTTTTTCTGCCCTGGTCCCCATTCTTGCTTGGCTAAATGAAGGTTACCAATCAAGGACCATGCATCCGGATGATCCTAAAAATTCAGACACAAAATTAAGCAGGAAGGGATTATATATATTTAAAGGTATTACCTCTTCATACTACAAGTATCTTAATTCAGGTGTTACTACATGTGTATTTGAACATTCAATCCTTCCAGAAGGAAACTAAGAATACAATAACAAGAATACAATAGGAAAACTGCCTGAAAAAAATGGTAAGTACTTCAATGCTCGATCGACAAGGGGGCACGGATAAGGATGTTACGACCAGGATAGGGAAAGCAAGGGCAGCTTTCATCATGCTGAGGAATGTCTCCAGGGTAATATGTACAACTACGAAACGCCGCATATTCAACTCTAGTGTCAAATCAGTACTGCTCTACAGATCTGAGACCTGGAGACAAAGCAACACAGGATACAAACCTTCATTAAAACTTGTCTGAGGAGGATCTTTAAGATCAAGTAGTCAGACAAGATCAGCAACCTGGAGCTGTGGGAAAGGGTAGGACAAGAACCAGTGGAAAGCCAGATCCTCAGGAGAAAATAGTCCTGGATAGGACACACTCTCAGAAAGCCACCAACGAGCAACACACAGCAGGCCCTAACCTGGTACCCACAAGGGCAAGCGAAAAAGGGGAAGGCCTAAGAACAGCTGGAGAAAGGACACTGAGGCAGAGATGAGGAGCATCAGTAACAGCTGGCACGACCTGAGAAGGAAGGCCCAGAGACGAGTACAGTGGAGGATGATCATCGGTGGCCTATGCTCCGCTATGGTCCGTTGAGCCAACAAAAAAATTACCTGATTGATCTGCAACGCTTCTTTAAACCAATCTGATGCATCATAGATCTGTCCGCTGTCACGTGCCATACAACCAAGTCTTAAGTAACCTGAAATAGCAGTAAATGTGTTGAAATAAACCATCATAGATCTGTCCGCTGTCACGTGCCATACAACCAATTTACAAAGTGGCTATCAGGCTTGTATAATAATTATTTTCATTTATTTTTTGCCAAAAACTTAAAACATAGACAACTCCAACACTTGTTAAATAAATATAACAGTATAGGGCCACTCATGATAGATCTTTCATCTAGAGCTTGCTTTGCTACCAATCATACTGCACACATACTTTTAACACTACAAACTTTACGTGAATCTATCATAAGTTACTTACAATCTACATAATTAGGATGTTCTCGAAGAATATTCTTGTACAACTGTTCAGCTTTGTCAAATGCACATGTGGCTTCACGTAGTCGGGCTAAGTTGTAAGTTGTTGTCACTGAGATGGCACTGTAATATGTTTCATCATGCTGGGCTTCATGTTTGGATCGCTCCAGTGAGGCCTCGTAGTATCTCTTAGATTCTTTTAAATTACCCAATCTAAAGTGCAAGGCACCAACATTATTGAGGATCTCTGGTGGCACATCAGCTTGGACTTTCTCTTTCAGGATTCTGGTGGCAGTACCATATGCAGAGAGAGCACCCTGAACAGCAGATGAATCAACATCAACAATAATATATATTGTGCAATCGTGCTCAGACTTCACAAGTAGAAAGGAAAAGAAAATGTATCATCAGTGATAAAATCATTTCTTAGAAAAATCAACATTGCATACCTGGACATCACTTTGTTCTAATATCTGGGCCAGTTCAATCCACGCTTCTACATCATCTGGGAACTGCTCAACTACTTTCTGTAAATGACCTTTAGCGATTTCTCTTTTTTCTTGGTCTGGTGAAGTAGCATAAAGGGAACCAAGGATCTTCATAGTTTCATAGTTACCAGGCTGTGATTTCAATACTTTCTCAAAACACTGTGCAGCCTGCAATAAACAAGTGTGCCATATTTTAAACACACTACCAGGATGTAGGAAGTGTCATTCTGTTAGGTAGACACGACAACACAAACATTCGGTTTTTGCACCAAAAATCATTGAAACTTGATTGACTTACGTTTTCCATGTCTCCTCTATAAATATACATCTGTCCAAGTCCAAAAAACGGTAATACAAAAGGTGCAGATGCAAACTGTGTAGACTGATAATAATACTGGAATGCTTGGTCATAATCACCCTACAATTAGAAATTAATAAAATACATTGTTATAAATATTACCATCTTTGTCAGCTGAGGTTCATTCAATTGGCCATCACCTCACTATTATACCTTGGCAAAGTTCCCAATATAAACTTGTACTCACTGTCAACAAAATCAAACTCAACTGTGAGTGTTCTAATGTGTTTCTATGGTGGATGGAATACTAAGTATGTAGGTGATGCTTTTCCATGGAAAATCAAATACAAAGTCTCTTTTTTAGCAACGATGCAATATAATACATGAATAACAAAATATATTGGTTTAAATATAAAATTGACATGAGTTGTTGTTATAGGAACACTGATTTATGAATCAAGCTCCTTGGCGCGTCCAATCAAGTCATTCAATTTATCAAATACAGCTTTTCCTTACATGTTCTTGCACAGATTCACATATGGATGGCCAACTTCAGCAAAACCATGCAAATTGTACGACGAAATTATACCAATATACCCAATACAATTTTCCCACAAATGAACCCATTTCAACAACTATGTTACATATGGTATATGTATATATATGAAGAATGTTTTACAGTTTTTGAAGCAGCTGCTGAAGCAGAGGCCACAATGCTTGATTTATTTGAAAGAAAGAATAAATCTTATTGTGGCGATTCAAGGATTTTTTACTGAAAGGAAAATGTGTTTGATATTCAGGTATACTTGATACAGAAACACAGTGATAAGATTTCAAATGCATTATTCTAGAACTGACTTACTACTATTGGCCAGGGGAACAAAAAGAAACAAAATCCCTATTCTGACTGAAATGACATTTGCTGGCAATATGCAGATTGACAGTGTGGTATCTTCTTACCTGTACATGGAACGATCTGGCTAGCTGATAACAGCTCTCAGCTTGTATGAATTCATTCTCTGTACCATGAAATGCATGTAATGCCAAATGCTGTACTTTGTTGTAGTCCTGAAAGTATCAACCAATTTCACTGGTTCACTTGATGTGTACATTTATTCAATACTACTGAATGGGTGTTTTATGTAAGTCATATAAAAGTAAGCATTATCAAGGTAGTTAGAGTTTAGCTTACATAAAACTAAACAACAAAATTAATATTCACAGTTTTTGTTTTGTTTTATCTACTGGATATACAAAGGAGTTCATGTACTTCAAGATGACTATGATACTCTTACACAAAATGACTGAATATCGGTACATGGTTTCAAGCACTGTCAGTTCTCTATTACTAGATTTTATGTTCATCAATACAATAGCAAAGGTTGATACCATTACCATGCGTAACAATGTATTATCACAATTGTCAATAAAATATCATCTATATTTCCTGTCCACTATTATACCTATTCCATAACAAATGTCACATCTTTGTGAATGACTTACCTTCTTAAAGAAGAAATGGTTAGCAAGATGATTGAGAACCATTGGGTTACTAGAATCTATAGTATAGGCTTTAGATAATAACTGCACACCTTTCTTGATGGAGTCAGGTTCTTTGCTATTCAGTTCCAAAATGGCCAGACCTACTATTGCACCAACACAAGATGGTTCTAACTGCAAAGCTCTTTCAAACGCAAGTCTAGCTTTGTCTAGTTTGCTCAATTTCATAAAGCAATGTCCCATACCAAGACGAACAGCAGCTGTTGATGTAATATATACATAAAGGTTCCTTACAAGACCAAATTCAGTACTCTGCGCCACCTGAATGTGACACACCTTCCAAAAAAGCATTGTGCAGCCCCTTGTTACACTACCATTCGATGCCATCAAGAGAAATTATACTGCAACCCAATTCTGGGCCACCGATCAACAAGCGCATTTTTGTTTTTAAGGACACAATCTAAGATGCATGTGATGGATTTCTATCATTACAACATCATTAATGCTTGCACTAAGAAGCTGTTTATTTCACATTTACTATCATAGTTCAGTAGTTTGTTAAACTGAATGCATCTCAGCAGTTGTAACCATGCACCTCATTTTAATGCCCTGAATTCTAAGATTCAGTTTTAGTTGCATTGCCCCCACCTACATGTGAACTATCACACGTTGACAAATAATCTGTGCAATAGTTTTCCTGGACGCATTTAAGTTACTTTCATGTCTTTTTTAAGCTGTGCAAATTTGGTGTTAAACTGATGACACTAAGTGTACATTATTCTCTCATTTTTAAAGGGGCACCTTCCAGTTAAGCCTAATCTCACAACAAATTTACTCTCTGGATTAAAACAACAATGGATAACAAAAGATAGATTAACATTGTAAACAACATGAACAATAGTGTCCCATGATTCTTTGGTGCAATCCAAGGGATTGAGCGGTTCCCCTTTAAGCCTATCAAAGCAAACAAGTTGTTTTCATGTGAAAATCTGTTATAAATTTGTAGGGGCATCAATTGGTACAAAGATGAAACTGTAAATACTCATTTTTTTGTAAAATAGTAACTGATAACAATTCATATCATGCTTACATGAGATGACGAAAAACATCCAAATACAGGCTATAAATGACTAATTATATAGTTCACCTTGAAAACAAATATTTTCTTTGGGAGTGGCTGAATTATTAGAAAAAAAATGGAAATTATGTATTGAGTTGTCATCAGAGAGGTATATTGAATGAGTGGTTAAATTACAAAAATGAAAAAAATATATATGACAATTTCGCGCAGAGAATTAAAGTGACAATGGCTGCTATATGTACCATACAGTGAGAGAGTTTATCTTGTTTTGTAAACAATGGCCCAGTGTGTTCATGCTGCATGCCTAAAAAAATACACACACTTGCCCAATCATTATCCCATACTTTTTATGGTATGTTTATCCACAGTCACTCTACCACCAGTCTGGAAATACTTATTGTTTAAGGTGTCTATCAGCTGGATTAGTGCGACAACAAATCATAAAGAAAATCCGCTAAGAGTATGGGTCATGTTACGGATGGTAGAACTTCCGGAATACTTGTGAAGGTGTCAACATTTTATTTACCCACTACAAGCATTGGTACAATAGCTTGCATTTTGTTTCCAGACCGGGGATAGAAGGACTATGGTTTATCTTATTCAGGAGGTGGCTAGATACTATAGTGTTAATTCCACAACTCCAATACATATCGTACTTCCCCGAGTATAAGCCCAGGGGCCTGAACATGTAAAATCGGGAAAATTAGGGGGTGGGCTTATACTAGAGGACCATCTCAGAAAAGATTATTTGTTGGGGGGTTTAAAATTGTAACCATCTTCCCAACCACGAAAAATTATCTAAATTACATGTTTCGTTCACAGCGCCGGTCTCTGAGAAACACTTTTTACAATTAAGAAACAAACATGTTCATAAAAATACACACATTTTATTACAATACGATTTACATATCGTCTGAATTTACGATGCAAAAATGGGTACGGTCTGTGGGAAAACAGTCGAAGGCAAGATCTTTATCATTATCTTCGTTGTGGAATGTTTTCGATCATATGCAAACTCTCGATACAAAGCAATTTCTGCCATGGTGTTTTGCATCATGACTTGACCTGAACAACTACCTTTGACCTAACAGGTCACGTCTTTTGTTAACCAATCAAAATGCTGTGTCGTACAGACGAAGTTTTCCGATTATTGACAAAGTAATTTTTTCAACGCAATGCGAAAGTGAATTACTGCGATGTTAAAATGCGATCTGATTTCGACAGAAAACGGTGATTTTTCCTCTAAAGCTGTTAATTCGCAATTTTCGAAAGGTAAACTGAGGGTGGAGGAAGTATTTAAACTTTTCACGGTCGCTAGTCACGTCGAAGAATAGTTTGCTCTATCACACCCCATTCATGAAAGTCTCAATGGACACGGTTATTCGGGAAAGTAAAACGATGTTCAATGACCGGGTTTCACAACTTGACGATCACATTTTTGGCGTTTCTAAAACTACTACTCAAAAAAAAATATGGATTACTTCAGTATTGCATCATCGGGTTATTCCTGAGTAAATAACAGAATAGAAAATGTGCGAACAATGTTCCGTACATTTGCCAGCCTGAAATTAATGCGAGTTTTGTTATAAAAGCACAAACCAAACTACTGTACCACTAACGGTTATTATGCAATGAAATACAATTTTTACATGCCTATTTTAATAAATGTCGTCGATGCCCGGTAAAACACCATGGGCTTATACTCGGGATGCCCTCAACTTGTTAAATGTCTAAAAACAGAGGGATGGGCTTATACTCGGGGAGGGGCTTATGCTCGGGGAAGTACAGTATATAAAACATCATGTCTGGAACCATATTTTTATTTTTGGCTTGTAAAACAAAAAGCATGAACGTCATCAGATTTGTTGAGCTAAAAATGCTTGATTGATTGCTGTTCGAGCCATGAGGCTCTAGGCCAATCAAATATCACAATTCATGCAACATTGAGATGATTAACATCTGACACCAGTTTGACCCCAAAGACGCACATGGTTTTAGAACTTAAAATGATTATCAGATAGTTAAAATTTTGGAGAAAAAACAACTAAAAATATTTAGTTCAAGAATATTAACTCAAACCTTCCAAGTTGTTATTTTTTTCTGATCACATTTCCATTTTTTGATCACTGTATTATTTCATATACATGTATGAGACATTTTTATTGTTTTATTTCATTTCAAAAATAAGGCAAACAAAAAGACTTGTACTTTGTAAGCAAGTCTAGGTCCAAACATTTGGACAGGAGATTCTACTAAAAATTTGAAACAAAAACTAATCGCCTTATTTGTTACAGAATGTGGGTAAAATAACATACCTGGGCAGTTAGGGGTAGTTCTTAGAGCTTTTTTATAATATGCCAACGCTCCTCTGAAGTCTTTCTTATTAAAAGAAATGCACGCTTTACCTGTGAAAAATACAACAATGCTTTAGAAACCAAAAGTGAAATAGTGAATGTGTAAACTGACAAAGTAGGTCATGTAAAAAATAGCCTTAAAGCTGAAGAGTGTAATTTTCTCATTCACAGTTTTAATTAAATTACCGTAAAATTCCTTTTTGAGGCCGCAGCTTCAACTAAGTTGAATTTTCACAACAATTCAACGAATTTATTTTTTGTACATTATTATAATCACTACTAATTAATAATCAGCAATTGTAACACTTCGAACACAAGTAAGTTATTCACTTGTGTGAAATGCAGCATGACCGTTACCGTGATCATTTACAACTAAGAATGCATTCGTTTTTGTTTTGACTTCTTTTAGAATATACTTTTCGTTATCAAAAATAAAAAAATAAATATATATTACATTAAATTATATACTGAGTATTTTTTCGTTATCATTTTTTTTTTTTGATTGACTTTTTTTATTTTAATTTCCCCGATGTCTAGATTAAACATGGAATGAACAGTCACTCTGCCGGAAGTCGAACATGCCGCAATCGACTGTGTCAGACGGCTGTCTGCACGGTTACTAAAAGAGTGACCGGTGCTAACGAATTAGTCTATTCAAGAGATTGTAGTACATGTATACAGTACCGTAATTTGAAAATGCATACAAATCTGTTTGTAGATATTATTTATTGTGCAGTATGTTATACAGTGTGAAATTTCGTTTGTGTACAAGTTTGTCTGTGTGTAAAAATTCCAAAGTGCCTTAGTATCGCAACAAAGTTGCAATCGAGTGTCGTGCATCTCATTATCCCTTCTGGCCTTTGTTTTCTGAAAAAATTCCCACTGTTACCGAAGTGAATGCTCTAATTAAAGCCGCACCAAGACTTCACGCATCTGAATTCGTCCATTGAAAAAATTAATTTTAATTAAAGCCGCGGCCTCAAAAAGGAATTTTACGGTAATACAACCCAGTATACAAGTTACATGCATTGTTTCGATAACAATTTAAAACTGCCACTCACTGTTATTGAAAAAAATTGAAAGTAAACTGTCTGCATTTATATATATTATTTAGTACAGTTTCATATGAGAGAGCATGTCAATCAGACATGAATGTTAAGAAGCAGCTACTTACCTAGCAGTGAGGGGATGTTATTAGGAGACTGGTTGAGCACAAAGTTAAACTGCGCATCGGCTTGATCCATTTTATCCCCTTCAAAAAGACAGAAACAAGCTCTGCCCAACAAATGGTTCTACATTCAAGGAAAAATTTTATAAAATTACATACAAAATATTGTACAGTCTTCAAATATACATGTGATGCTAGTAAATGAGGTAATGCAGAATATTTATATGCAGGCAAATGGTTGAACCATTGAGATTTATTCATTGTACAGACGAATACATGCACAGAGATTTACCTGATCATACATAATAATTTTATCTGCCATAGTGTAAAGCCTGGTAGCCTGGGTGAACAGCTCTTTCTTGACATCTTTACTTTTTTCTTTTCTTGCTTGTTGCACATAGTAAGCAGCCAGGGTGTCCAAGGCTGTCATCTGGTGTGTCTCATGATCTTTGTATTCAGTATTGGCATCGGTCCGAGATGCCTCAAAAATTTTAACAAACTCCTCGGTGGCACCTTGCTTGTAATATTCAAGCTGTTAAAAACAACAAAATAACAATACAACTACCGGATTCTGCCGTAAATTGGCCAAGGGCTGTTAAACGGCAGTTCGGTTTTTTACAAAAATAAAATGGGACCAAGAAACCGCCCAGGACGATTTTTCGGAAGATTTTTAAGGTGTTATTTTAATCTTTACTGATGCCTAAAAGTTTCGCCGTAGTCATTGAAGCCTATTCAAGAGTATTGATGTTTATTGCGACTAGCGTGAATGGGTTAGCTTCGTTTCGACAATGAGCTTTTATCGCTGTAAACAATGTTAAATTATTCTTCAAATGCTCAGTTTATGTTTTGAAAACAACTATTTTTTTTATTTAGAAACAAATCCAAGCCAAAAGATCGTACAACAACATCGGCAAATCTGTTCCGTGCTGCATTCATTAACATTAACATATTTAAATGAGCTATGGTAATTTGAACATTATGATAATTATCGATTTGACCTGTCAGGTCAAAGAACACCATTTCAGGTCAAAACATGGCGGATATTCATTTCTACAGCATCAAGCGTTGAAAATGCGATCGGAATCCATGAAAAAAATTGAAATTTATTTGCATTTCATAACAATTCATCGATTTTTTTTTGTACGTTATTATAATCTTTACTAGGTAATAATCAACAATTGTAAAACGCAGCATGACCGGATTGCAATAGTTTCTTTCGTTTTGAGTGCTCCAACTGCCGGTGTTGAAAATCGGCGTAGGTGGCAGAATCCGGTACTATTACAGTGTTCTTCTCATAAATTTATATGC